GTCCCCATGTGAGCTCCTGCCCTTTACCTGCATTAGCCTGTCTGGGTACCCCATAGCCACTTTCTCTCATCAGGACCCATCTGCAAAGGTCTCTTACCATGAACACAGGTACGGGGTGCCCAGTGCATATGTTAGATTGGCCACTGTGTGTGTACCGCAGCCCAGTCATTTTGACCTTCCTGCCAGTCCTCATCCATAGACATGCTCTGCAGGACAGCCTCAGCCCACCTACCTCAGGACTTCTGCACGCCTCACCACCTTAGTCTCTTGCCTTCTGTGGTCTTTCTCATCTTTCAATCTGACAGTGCTAACGTTTTGCTGTTTATGGTTTTGTGTCCATCCTTTCCAGGCCCACAGGACTCCTAGCATTTTAAAAGGTAATATTTTAACATGGGTATCGAGAACACTGCCAATTTTAGAATTGCAAAATTGTTTGGTTTCTGTGAGAAAAACCAAGTGCTGTTGTATAGCAGCGTGAGTAACTCTGAAGAGGGATGGTTTCTGGTGTTTACCAGCTTTTGGTGGTGTTTTTGATACAGGCTCTTGCAGTGTAGTCCAGGCTGTCACAGGTCTCCAGGCCTGTTTCAGCCGCCTCGGTCCTGGACACAGGCATGGGCCACTGTGTCCAATCCCAGCACTCCTTCTAGTTTCCTCAGTTAATTGACTGTGTGTGTGTGTGTGTGTGTGTGAGAGAGAGAGAGAGAGAGAGAGAGAGAGAAAGTGTGTGAGAGAGAAAGAGTTTGTGTGTGAGAGAGAGTGTGTTAGAGTGTGTGAGAGAATGTGTGTGTGTGTATAAGAGAGAGAGTGTGTGTGTGAGAGAGAGTGTGTGTGTGTGAGTCTGTGTGTGTGAGAGAGTGTGTGTGTGTGAGAGAGTGTGTGTGTGTGAGAAAGAGAGTGTGTGTGTGAGAGAGAGAGAGTGTGTGTGTATGTGTGTGTGTGTGTGTCCTAGCTGTGTGCTTTCACATGCACCACCTGCACCTGGCACCTGCAGGGGTCAGAGGGCACCTGCAGGTGGCATCCTGGAACTGATGGCTGTAAGTCGTCATGTGGGGGCTGGGAACAAGGGCCACAAGTACTCCCAACTGCTGACTGCTGAGCAACCTTTCCAGCCCCTTCCACATTCTTTTTAAAGATTTAGGAGTGCAGAGGAGTCCACAGGAAACTGCAGACATCATGCTGGCGGCGGGTGGGAAAACCGTACTCCTTACAGTGTCCCACAGGACCCTGGCAGCCTCCAGGACGGTCAGAGCGCTGGGAACAAAAGCCCGAGGAGTCAAGGCATGAGAGTCTGCTCAGACCTACTTGGTGACAGATTTGTGACTTACAGAAACTTCAAGATCAGAGAGCTGCACTGTAAACACACAAACATTAGTGTCCCGCGGTGGACATCTGGGCAGCTCATGGCATTACCCCTTCCGTGAAGGCTGACAGCCCCAGAGCCACTACATTACCCTGGTGCGGGCTGCTTCCTGCTCACCTGCATACCATCTTCAGTGGTTCACCTCGGCCTGTTCCCTTGTTTTTACTGCCTTTAAGACCGAGTCTTGTTAGCTAGCCCAGAGTGGTCTTCAACCTACAGTCTTCCTGCCTCGGCCTCCCAAGTGCTAGGATTACAGATTTGCACCACCATGCCTTGAATCTCCATGTGCAACTTCCTGCCTTTATGTGACACTACTGCCTATGCAGCTTGACTACTAAAACTGCACGTTAAGATATATCCACAAAGGGGCTAAAGAGATGGCTTAGTGGTTAAGAGCACTGCTGATCTTTCGGAGGACCTGGGTTCAATTCCCAGCACCCACATGGCAGCTTACAACTGTCTCTCCTGTTCCAGGGGATCTGAGAAACGCATACAGACATACCTGCAGACAAAACACCAATATACATAAAATAAAAATCATTTTTTTAAAAGAAAAAATACTCACACTACAACATGTATTTCTTTAACCAAAGGCTGCCAGAGGCTACTGGAGCTAGGGGTGGAGAGGCGCAGGGGGTGGGGTCAATATGTCCATGATGGGTACAAGAGATCCCTTCAGTGAGCACACAGGCCCACACCATAAGACAGAACAGACAGGAGCATGGAAACCAGTGAAATCCAAGCAGGTGCCAGGGAGTGGACAGACATCCACGTGCTTGATGCTGCTACCGCCAGGCACATAAGGAAGGGACCGTCACAGGAGGAAACAGGCAGAGACACACAACAGCTGCCTGCATGATGTCTGCAGCTTCCTGTGGACTCCTCTGCACTCCCAAATCTTTAAAAAGAATGTGGAAGGGGCTGGAAAGGTTGCTCAGCAGTCAGCAGTTGGGAGTACTTGTGGCCCTTGTTCCCAGCCCCCACATGACGACTTACAGCCATCAGTTCCAGGATGCCACCTGCAGGTGCCCTCTGACCCCTGCAGGTGCCAGGTGCAGGTGGTGCATGTGAAAGCACACAGGACACACACACACATACTCTCACACACCCATACTCTCACACACAAATACTCTCACACACACATACTCTCTTTCTCACACACACACACACACACACACACTCTCTCTCTCTCTCTCACACACACACACACACACACACACACACACACACACACACACACACACACACACACACATAGTCAATTAACTGAGGAAACTAGAAGGAGTGCTGGGATTGGACACAGTGGCCCATGCCTGTGTCCAGGACCGAGGCGGCTGAAACAGGCCTGGAGACCTGTGACAGCCTGGACTACACTGCAAGAGCCTGTATCAAAAACACCACCAAAAGCTGGTAAACACCAGAAACCATCCCTCTTCAGAGTTACTCACGCTGCTATACAACAGCACTTGGTTTTTCTCACAGAAACCAAACAATTTTGCAATTCTAAAATTGGCGGTGTTCTCGATACCCATGTTAAAATATTACCTTTTAAAATGCTAGGAGTCCTGTGGGCCTGGAAAGGATGGACACAAAACCATAAACAGCAAAACGTTAGCACTGTCAGATTGAAATCGTGCTGCCTAAAAGTCCCGCAGTTTTCATGACATTCTGAATGAAGCCCTCCCGGCAGGGACACACAATCCGCACACGGTGCCCAGAGGTTAGCTGCTGGCAAGGGCAGAGGGCACATCAGTCCACAGGGTACCAGCTGAGGGGAAGCACTGTGTGGCTGATAGCTGAAGGCCTCAGCAGAGGGGTGGCGAACAGCATCTCTGAGGCGTTCCCAGTCAGGCTTCCTCGCTGCCAGTCAGAGAGCAGCTTGGCATAAAGACCTAAGCAACAGGTTTCTCTAAGAACACAAAATTAGCTCAGGATGCTAACTCCACACAACTGGCCCCACTCCACTGAAGCCCCAATGTGCCTAGCTTAGGAGAGAGACAGAGCAGAGGGGGCCCTCAAAGCAGTAGGACCCCATTCAACAGAAGGACTTTCTCCTGGCTGCAAACACACACACCACAAGAGCAAATGAAAACCCTGCTTCTATTTACTACTTGATAGTTTATTTTAACGACGAGAGAACTCGAGCCAATCCTACTGCCTGCAGGCTATCCATCCACTGTTGTCTTCATGTAAAGACCCTGAGACCCAGCCTTCCCCTCTCGGCCAGCTCCATCACTGTGCACTGAAGGGCCCTGCTTAACAATAGTTCCATATGTCACATGTGTCCGCAAAAACAGCTCTCTCTGTCCCTGTCTGTCTGTCTGTCTCTCTCTCTCTCACACACACACACACACAAACTGGACATAGAGACCAGACTAGTGTGCTGGAAATAAAACGGTTCACACCTGCAGCACAATCCCCCAGCAGAGCCCGTCTCCCCTGAGTGCAGCCCACTGTGCCAAAGGGGACAAAGCCCACCTGACTCTGTCATGCCCCGATGGGCAGTGTACTTGAAGGCCACATGGCTCTCCACAAAATGGGAGAGCAGAAAGTGATGTGAAAGCAGGGTTCCTTCAACAGTGGCCCACTCCCACGAAAGCAGAGGAGAGCGAGCATCGTGTGGGCTGCGCAGAGCAGAGCTGGTGCAGAGCTCCCAAGACTCCACCCTGGCACGGGGCTGCCATAGCTCTGCCCTCTCCTCCATTCCTGGAGCAGAGCCAAGGCGTGAACTAGAAAACAATCAGCTGAGTTTCCTGGAGTGGGGATGACAACATAGGTACTCTTCATGCAACTGATGGCCCTGAGTACTGCTTACACTTTGGCGCGGGTTTCAGAGTGTCCCAGTGTTTCACTGACCTCATCATTTCCTGCAGACACACTGCACCAGGAACATGTGCTGGCATCTCTACTTAGGCAACGGTGCTGTGATTGCATACCAACGGCGCTCAGCACTGCTGAGATTGCATACCAAAGGCACTCAACAGCTCCAAGTAACTGACGAAGCAGATACTTCCTAACAAGGCCCAATACCAGGAGCTGCCCCAGCTGACTTGTGCAGCTTTTACTGTGAACAGGGACGCTGGGGCGACGACATAACTTCTGACTTCCATGCTGACTACGTTTGCATGCAGCCAAGGCCTGGCCTCCACCCTGCTCACGGGCAAGTGTGCCAGAGTCGCATGCAATGGGCAGTGCCCCTGCCAGGCCCTCAATGTGTCTCCCTCTCTCTCGTCTCAGGACTGTGATGCTGCTATTTAAAGGGTAATTTAGACTATGTGTCTAAAACATGACTTCACCAACCTGTCCCTGGACTGACCCTCGGCTGCCACCCTAATGACTAGCCTGATTAAGGGCTACATCTTTGTACTAGCACGTGTGATGTATTAATTCAGGCTAGCTCCTCGCAGACAGAGCCCAGGATTCCAGTCATAACTCAGAGCCATTGCAGAAGACAGTCAGAGGGTATGTGTCCAGAGGGGCTGAGGGACAAGACCCTCCCTGCGCATTCAAGGTAGCTGCTATACAACCCCTCAGTTCTATCAACTGTGGTTCTCGTGACGCTACAGAATCAGCGTCCCTGGGGGCTGCCCACACTTGGTCAGAGCTGGGGACCCCTGGACATGTGTCAGTAAACACTTACCTGAGCACACCGACCCAGTTCTCTTCTGTTCAGGTACTGGAATATATTGATTGCCAGTTCATAAGGCAGCTGCACGTCGAAGAAGGGCACCTCTTCCATCTCATTCTGTGGAGAAAGAGGGAAGAGGTTGAGGGTGAGGCGGACAGCAGCTTGCACCGCCAAGCCTTTCTATCACTGGACACTGTTGCAGGTGATCAGAGCAGGGCCGTTTCAGGGAGAACGTAAAGTAATGGTGTCTCTGCCCCACACATCTACCCCCCTTTCAGTCACTATGAAAGTCACGTGACCATTTCCCATGATGCTCCGGAAGGAGAAGCATGAGTACTACAGGAATGGAGCACAGGTGCATCAGAAACCTCCAGACAGATTTCAAAGAGAAGATGAGGCAGCAGGTGCCCAAGAAAGTCCTCCTGGGCTGGGGAGGCCACCATTCCCCAAGGCCAAGCAAGCTTCCCCAACTCACGGGCATGGTGGCCCCAGCTGGAGAAGTGCTGACCAGGTCACTAACATGTTTTTGTGGGTGTAGAGCAGGGAGGAGGCGGCTGTGATGCAGCCAGGGTTTCCCAATGCTCTGGGGGCTCAGCTGGTTAACCTGAGCGAGCCAGCACAAACAAAGCGGTTCTCCAGTGCTGTTTATTAACGCACAGCAACAAGAGCTAGCCTGCCCTGGGGTAAGGCAGCGGAGATGCAGTAACGCTTAGGCAGAAAGATAAGGTCATGCGGATCCCAGAGCACAAAGGAATCCAAAGGAGAACACGGAAAGGCCAAGCTGAAATGACCAGGTCCAGCAGTCCACCTGCCAGCCAGGGCCATGACTGAGCGTCTCAGCTGTAGAGTGGGCCCCTCGTCCCAACAGCCTAAACTTGGGGAGTTTATGTTCAATAAACTCTGGCTAACATCAATGGCTTACTGGCTGAAAGCGGGTTGCTAACCTACCGCTCACTACAATTTCCACACCACGAGGTGGCCACTCCAGAAGACAGCCTCCACGGCATTGCGGAGTGTGAGCACCAACCAGAGTCTTCCAAGACTAAGGCTAAAGAATGTTCAAGAACCCTATCACTATTCATCTAGGAGTCTCAGGACTGAAGGAGAGTCTGGAGCCTATGAGGAAACAGTGTTTGGCTGCGAAAACAGAGCAAGGCTAAGGACACAGGCCAAAAAGGCTCTCTGGGGAAAGGGCAGTGACCAGTCTCTGTGGGCAGAGGAGGGACAGAACGTTCAGTCAGTGGAAGGATGCTGGCCATGCAGAAAAACAGGAAAAGATCTGCAAGGGTAATTGGAAGGCACTGGTCTCTGCCTAAGAAAACAAAGGAAAGCCATTGGGACTCTAGGCAGACAAGGTCCTTGCCTACAGTGACACCTCCACTCATCACCGAAGAGCACTACTACCAACCAGATACAACAAGAGACACCCAAACCCCTGCAGGGGTCACTGCTGGTCTGGGACCTGGTAGGCACATGTAAGGTGAGAGGCTATCATCCACAATGCCACCCCTGATGACCGCCTGCCCTTTCTTCTGCATTATTTTGTCTACAGAAGCAGAGGGGACCAACTCTGCCTGCATGATAAAGAAACACGAGAAGAAGGTCCCTTTATGCTCACACAAGCAGAGCTACGACAGGGCCAGGCTGAGCAAGGCGGGGTGAGGCGCCTGAAGAGCTGTGGGCTTCTGTATGGTAGGTCATCATAAACTGGTCTTGAGACGAACATGAGATTCCGCCTTTGCTTTTATCCTGGGCAAAGGTCACAGCCTCCCATCAAAAGCCTATTTTGTTGGCCTGTTTCCCATGCTCAACATGAAAGACGGTCCCTCCATGAAAGCATGGCCCGGCCTCCCACTGCCCTCCCTGATCCGAGCCTCAGTTTGGGAAGATGCCACCTAAACAGCCCAAAGCACCTCGGATTCCTGTCTAACACACTCAGGGTGATGGCCTGAGGAACACAGGAAGAGATTTCCCAGAGAGGGCAATGCAAGCATTGCTGCTAGGCAGGCAGAGGCTGGGTGCCACTTTCCTGGAGGTCACACAAGCTCCTTTGCATGTTCTCATGCTACCGCCCTTCCGTCCACTTTCCTGGAGGTCACACAAGCTCCTTTGCATGTTCTCATGCTACCGCCCTTCCGTCCAAGTCACTCTAGCTTGCTTGTTGGTGACTAGCTACCCTGTACCTTGTCTCACCTTAAGCTGAGACTTTACCAGCAGTAACACAAGGACTAAAGAATGAGGCTGCACCCAAACCGTGGAGGATCCAAACACCCAACACAGAACAGCATCACCAACTCTAAAGGGCATCTAACAACTCAGGAACTGAGAGGATCGTTCAGACACTGTGCTGCTGGGCTGTGGTAAGATCTGGAGGACAGCCACTGTTTCAAGGATAAACTGTAAGGCTGTAAACAACATGCAGAGCCATTCTTAGGAGTACCTCTAAACTCCAAAATGACAATCAACAATGTCAATTCAAGTCAGTCTAAGCCCCTCCCTGACTTCCCTGTGGCTGAGCTTCCTGTTCCCACCACTGGTTAGGGAATGGCAGGAAGGACAAGGAAGCCAGTCACCAAAGGAATACCGGTAGCTATGGCACATGCATGGCCACAGTCAGGAGACCACACCCTAAATGTTCATCTATGGCCTTCAGTGATGGAGCAGTGGGTCGCTCAGATTCCCCCAGATGACAGAGAGGGCTGCCTGCCACTGGTTCACAGCTAAGCCCTCCTAGATGCTGCCTTCGGCCAGAGGGTTCCTCACCAAAGCACCATCCCCTCCAGAGAGTAGTCTGCATTGAGCACAAAGGCGTCCAGCCTCGATTGTGACCTCCGACTGGCCAGCCCACTAAGCCACATGTGACTCTGCACCTCAGAGGTGACTCCTTTAAGTTCAGCCTTCCCCAAACAACCAATGAGGCCATGTGGCCTTGTGCTGAGTGCTAGCACCCCCAAGAGTTCTAAGGGCACAGCTGCAGAGAGGCCAGTGGAGAAACCTCCTTTGGATGGGGTGGTACAGGAGCAGGCAGGTGAAGATGGCCCAGGAATGTCACCTTGTTGTGTCAGTAGTAGCTCACCACGTGATATACACCTCACCAGAGACTGTATCATGAGCTTAGTCAACCTTGTGCAAACCAAACTCAGACCTGAAGGCACACCTTTGCCCAAGTTAGAGCTAGCCCAGCAACCGCCCAAGCCCACGGCTGCTGCAGAGGTCTCCTGTGATGACATGCAGCATTGCATTCCTCCCACGGCTGCTGCAGAGGTCTCCTGTGATGACATGCAGCATTGCATTCCTCCCACGGCTGCTGCAGAGGTCTCCTGTGACCACATGCAGCCATTCCTCCCACGGTGCAGTGAATGCACTGACACTACCTGTGCTCATGTGCAGAGGAAGTCCTCTTTACTACCATGATGCTGTGGGGCCGCCACCTAGACACCTGGAGCACACAGCCAGCCCAACAGTTATGGGCCACACCGGGGTGACCCCATGACAAAGCAGACAGCATGGATGCTCTGAGGAAGCAGCAGCACAGAAACGTTAAAGGGACACTGTAGGTGCGTCAGCTGAGCTTGCCAAGCTCAGGCTCTAGACTCCTCTCAGTCAAGGGAGGAGTCACACAAAGGGGTTGTGTTACACTAAGGTCAGTGGATACTGGATTTTCCCAAAGTCTACTGGACTCACTCCAAAAACACTGAAAGGAACTGTGAAGGGATCTGTCCCCAGAGAGGTTGATTTGTCCCCCATGTGCTACTATAAGCCTGATCCCATAAATGGACGGCCTTTGTGACGTCGTGTCAGAAATTTAATCTGCCTTCCCTTGCTTAGGAGAAGAAGGGGTAATTACTAAGAGCAGAATCAGTGCAGAGGGAAGAAAACAGACTGGGATGCACTTCCCAACACTTATCTCTGTGGCGACCGCCACTCAGACGCTCTCAGAGTAGTGTTTAAACAGATCTTCGGGAGGCTTCTACTGACTCTGGGACACAGAGGCCTGCTGTCTGCTGGGCTTATCTCAACCCACACACCACACAGTCCCACCACAGGAATGGACGGCATCCAATCTCACTTGTGGCTTGAGAAAACAAGGTGTTTGATGGGGACAGTCTCAAATGCTCTCCAGATAGGAACCAACAATTCTGGGCTCAAACACTTCCCTGGCACAAACCAACAGGAATGTCAATGCACACCACGGATTCCTTCTTAGAGTCCTAGATATCTGTACAGGAGGCACACCATCGAGCTTTAAAATAATTTATGTGCAAAACCCTGTCTGAATGCAGGACCATGCCCAGGACTGGGGGAGGGGAAGTGCTATTAGCAAATGCATGAGAAATGGCCTCTACAATGAAGGGCCTAAATCTTTTATGGAGGTAAGTCATCGCATATAAAATAGAATAAATACAGGGGATAGTCCCCCAAGGTATAGCAGGGCTCATTAATAAGTCAGCTATTTAGAACTTAGGAATCCTTTCTCTTAAAAAAAATAATGCTGTAAAGAGAGGTTAAGTTCCCAAGCAGTCCACAAAAAGCCAATTTATCTCTTCAATCGAACCTAACCCTGAGCCCAGCAGTATTTAATAAAGATCCAGGCTGCCAGCACAGACAACGGCCACCTACAGAAGCTAACCTGCCTCACACATGCCCTCGCCTGGTAAAGACACTGAGATTTAGTTATTTAGAATTGGTCTCAAAACTGTGAGATACATTCTTATTCATCACCTTCTGGTGATTTCCCTGGGGGTGCCAGCAAAGAAGGGGGTGAGATGAGGCAGCTGTGAACTTGGGGACTCCCCAGAGGCTGGGTGTGGCAGTGAAGGAAGTCTGTGCAGCCAACTGGCCAGCCTCTGCTTACAAAGCTCCTGTGAGCCCACGCTGGGATGGGAGACTTGGGACCAGGCAAGACAGAGGGCAGAAGAGGTGCTTTCAAGAAGAAAGCTCAGCTCTGCTTGGGAAGGGCTGGAATGTCCAGCAGACATGCCAAAGCACAATCTGAGCGCCAGGGTCCACTACAGAATCTGGGGAGCTTGGTGTGAAAACAAGTGTTAGGATCCCTAAGTCAAAGGGATTTTAAGAACTGTAGAGCAGCCAGGGATGCTCCAAGAGACCAGGTCTGT